TTACTATTCATTGTTACTGTTTGACAACGAGCTATTGTTGCTTTTGTATGGACTTTTCTTATAATAGTATCATGAAAGATTTCCCAATATCAGTAGAGCGACTTCTCTGCAAGAAGTCTCTATTAAGAGGCTCTGTCAAGGGTGTAGAATGCAATCTTTGATTAGCTGCAGTCCACAATAACCAACTGTTTGTTTCTGAGTAAGCTTTTAATATTAATATTAAATCACCTGCATATACCTCATACTGTAAAACATGTACCAAATTCCTCTTAAAACCTTGCCTACCGTTCATTTAAATTGTAATATTTGGACTTTTAACAATCAAACTGAAATATTTGACACGTGGGCATGAAATGTCAAAGCCATGTGTCTATCTAACTATAGCCAGTAAAAAGCCCCTCAATAATTCAAAAGTAGTCTGCAGCACTGAAGAAAACAACCAACAGACCATAATAGCTCCTGAAGAATTATTGCTTTCTAACACTTTGTTTAATGGTCTTATAAATTTCTTTCGAGACAGACGAAGAATGGGCTTTCCYGTTTTTAAAATATCTTTCATACCTAAATTCTTCAGGAGAAATAATGCAGGCATTAGAAAAGTGATGAAAAGTAGAAAAAATGTTTTTGGGACTTCTGTGCTGGCAATATATTTTTTTAACAGATTAAGTATATTTGATTATTTAATGAATATCAAAAAATATGAGCGTGGTCAATAATCAAAGGCATAATTAAAAAATTCTAAATCACCACCTAAGCCTTATCAGTTGAACATGGATGTAGACAGTGTGACCGCACATATCCATCCATGGGGAGTATTTGGCATCCCACCACACTTCTGGAGACCCTGTCCTTTGCTCTGCCTCTCCCAGAGCATTTGTACTTGTATTTACTTAATAATCACCCTCCACATTTCATGGTTTTGCTCTATTAAAAGTCTGCATGTTGTGATTTAATCATTATTGTATACAGGTTACTTATGTTTTTTACAAGGTTAGTTATGATTTGTTGTTATATTAAAAAGAAAAATATGTTTTCCTTGTGCTGGGTTAATTGAACTTGTATTAAGCAGTCACCGCCAATACCTGCTTTATATTTCATTGTGGTTTAATGTACAGGAGAGAATAGTAACAGTTTTACAAAGTGTTATCATAAGTTTCTAATTTTATCGATATCAAAACTCGATTGGTGTTGTACGCGACGTGTTGTACAATCATGTCATTTCGTTGTTGGGCCGATCTAAGTTCTTTCAATATGCACAAAAATGAACAAAAACTTTCGAATTTTTGTAAGTTTACAACATTAACGGAAGC